TGCTCACAGATCTTATGTCTCCCAAAGCCAAACAAACACTCGGCTGTTTTCTCAGGACCTCCAGGAGGCTTTGGACAGAAGCAAGAGAAGCGGGAGTAGGACCCAGATCATGTGGGCCCCCTCCCTGGAGGGGGTGGCCCCTGGCCTGAGCCCCATTACTAGGGCCTCCCCGAGAGGCTGTCAGGTACGTCAATTCCTTCCCAGAAAGAAGTTCCCCAAGCTTTCCCATGCACCTTCCTGTCTCTCAGACTGCAGTACAGCCTGTGGGTCCCAGACACACAGCAAGGGTGAGCCCTCCACAGGGAGGCAGGCCACTCCCGTGCCGGGAGGTGGCCGGCTCCCGGGGCTGAGGGCAGCGCAGGTGGCAGAGCTGAGAACGGCTTCCCCAGGGGCCCCAGGCCTCACCCACCTGCCAGCACCCGGAACCCCACCACGCCATCCAGGTTGATCTCCGGCAGTCGCTTCTCCAGGAAGACGGTGGCTCTCTCCAGTGCAGACAGGATCAGGCCGGCGACGGCGGCTTTGCCTGCTGCGGTGCCTGGCGGGGGCAGTGCAGAGGGCCACAGCGGCTGCAGGGCTGACAGCAAGAGCAGCAGCAGCAGCCCCCGCCTGGCCATGGCTGGCCGCTCACATCCTGTAGCACCCTGCAGGGCCGGCCGGCCAGGTGGCACCTACACACCCTCCTCCCGCCTCCTCCCCCGCCCCGCCCCCGCAGGCAGGGCTGTCCCAGCAGCTGGGGGTAGGGATGCGGTGGCCTGGGCAGACCGCTCCCGGCAAAAAGTGAAGTGATTTCTTTTGCTCATTTGTGTTTATGACACGTGTCTGTGGGTTACAAGCAGCGGACCTGATCCATGCGATGCCGTCACTTCAGGCTCAGCCCAGACAGCGCTGTCGGAAAATCCCCGTGCACGTCTGTGGTGGAATGAGAAGGCCATGCCAAGGTGGCCACTGGCAAGCCAGTGTCAGTTACTCAGGAATGGCTTTTTTTATTTTTTTGACAGGCAGAGTGGACAGTGAGAGACAGAGAGAAAGGTCTTCCTTTGTCGTTGGTTCACCCTCCAATGGCCGCCGCAGCTGGTGCGCTGATCTGAAGTCAGAAGCCAGGTGCTTCTCCTGGTCTCCCATGGGGTGCAGGGCCCAAGCACTTGGGCCATCCTCCACTGCACTCCCTGACCACAGCAGAGAGCTGGCCTGGAAGAGGGGCAACCGGGACAGAATCCGGCGCCCTGACCGGTACTAGAACCGGGTGTGCTGGTGCCACAGGTAGCGGATTAGCCTATTGAGCCACGGCGCCAGCCTTCAGGAATGGCTTTGAAACCCACCTGGCAATGGAGCCTGCCTGGCAACAGGCTGTGATTGGTTGGGGCATAGACCGCCCCTTGACCAGATTGGCTGGTCTTGGCTATATAAAATGTGGTTCCAACTATAATAAACGAGTCTGCTGGCTGCTCGCCTCAGGCCTGCTTTCACCTGACTCCCTCCCGGGGTCTGTGTGGTGACTCCGCGCCTCTTGCCCCCTACCTCGCTGCTCCTCTCAGAAACAAATCCACTGCAACATTGTTGAGAAATCAACCGCAACACACGTCCTCCATTGAACACAGCCAGGCTCTTGGGCTGTTTTCCTTTGCTGATTTTTCTTCTTCCCTTTTATCCCCTTGTGTGTGTGTGTGTGTGTGTGTTGTTGTTGTTGGATTACTTTTCATTTCTGAGTTCTAAAACTTTTCCATTTTTTAAAAAGATTTATTTTATTTATTTGAAAGTCAGAGATACAGAGAGACAGACAAAGAGATCTTCCATCCACTGGTTCACTCACCAAACACAATGGCCCAGCCAGGGCTTGACCAATCTGAAGTCAGGAGCCAAGAGCTTCCTCTGGGTCTCCCACGTGGGTGCAGGGGCCCAGGGACGTGGGCCATCCTCTGCTGCTTTCTCAGGCACATTAGTAGGGAGCTGGATTGGAAGGGGAGCAGCTAGGACTTGAACTGGTGCCCATGTGGGACACTGGCACTGCAGGCCATGGCTTTAACCCACCGCGCCACAGCGCCGGCCCCTTTGCCATCCTTTTTTAAGGTGTAATGCACCAGGTGTCCCGTCTGAGCCCGAGCTGTCCTGCGCGGTGACGTTCTGAGGTCGTCTCCGTCTCACTCAGGGTGAGCACACACCCATTTCCCTGCAGAAATGTTACCGCTGGGTTTCCGGCTGCTGTCTTAGATGCTGCCGGGACTGGGATGTCCATGGGTAACACATTCTCCCCCGAAAATCCACGCATTCTGAAGTCAGAAACACACCCGGCCCCGGAGCTTCGGCTAGGGGGTGACAGATCTGAGGAACACCACCACGCACACTGCTCCTTGTGCGCAGGCTCTGGGCTCCAGGCTCTCGACCTTCTCTTAATGATCCCAGGAAAGCAGCGGAGTATGTTTTCAGACAGGCAGAGGGGACAGTGAGAGAGAGAGACAGAGAGAAAGGTCTTCCTTTGCCGTTGGTTCACCCTCCAATGGCCGCCGCGGCCGGCGCACTGCGCTGATCCGATGGCAGGAGCCAGGTGCTTCTCCTGGTCTCCCATGGGGTGCAGGGCCCAAGCACCTGGGCCATCCTCCACTGCACTCCCTGGCCACAGCAGAGAGCTGGCCTGGAAGAGGGGCAACCGGGACAGAATCCGGTGCCCCAACCGGGACTAGAACCCGGTGTGCCGGCGCCGCAAAGCGGAGGATTAGCCTAGTGAGCCGCGGCGCCGGCCTCTCGACCTTCTCACTTCAGTATTGCTCACTCCCTCCCAAATGCTTTTAGAAATTTACGCCTGAAGGAGTGAAGGGAGCAGCTCTCTCGAGAGGCGACCACGCACCGTAAGATCCCCCCCTTGAAGAACACACGGCTTTGCTGCGGTTACTCGTGTATGCATGAAGTTGTGCACCCACCGCTCCTAGGACACCATCATCACCCCAAACAAGTGGGTGACTCGGGGGCACCCACTCCCCAGCCGCTGGCCGCCGCACCCTCCTTCCTGTCCCCACAGATGAACACTGCACATGGACAGAGTCACACAGCTTGGCTTCTTTCCCATGTCCTCAGGTCATCCGTGCTGTGGCGTGTGGCAGGCCCGTGTTCTTTCTCGTGCTGTGGGGATAGGCTGCATTTTGTCTGTGGGTTCATGCACCGACGGACATGTGAGAACGGTGCCGACATGGACATTTGATCACAAGGTTTGCCTGAAAACCTGCTTTCAGTTCCCTCCGGAAAGTCCTCGGGAATGAGCTGGGTCATCTGCCAGGTGGCTGGGCCGCATCCAGCCACCCCTGCGACACAGGCGAACTCCTCTGGCACCCCCAGGGGAGTCCACTACTGCACAAGTGTCACGAGTCTGGGTGCTGAGTCAGATCTCTCGCCTCCTCCATGTCCCAGGCGAAACCTGTCTTGGCCAATACTTCTGTCAATCATCGTGGAGCCCTGAAGTGGGTACTTAACCACCTGAGGCCCTGAGGGACTTAGTGTGACCTTTGTCACACAGCAGGTGGCAGGGCAGAGGCCCAGGGGGAGTCCTCACCCTGGAAGGGGGCCGCAGTACCCTCCGGTCCGGAGCCACCAAATTCCCCGAGGGAAGGCAGCACAGCCGGGCTGGCCCACTCTGCAGCCCCCCTGCCGGCCACACTGCTGGCCTCTCTCTCCTGGGGGAGACGCCAAGGCCTTCTCCCACCAGGTCTCCCCGAGCGCGGCTCTGCTCTCAGTTTCCCCCTCCTTCATGCCTGGCCGTCGCTCTCTCAGGCCAGGAGGTGCCCTCCGAGGCCGGAAGTGTCCCTCCCCGGGACAAGTGCCAGTGGACCAGGCACGCCCTGTCCAAGGTGCAGCAGAAGACTCAGGACCGCCAGGCTGAGGTCGCGGTTCCCAGCTCCTTCCTGTCACTGCTGGCGGACAGCACTGGGGGGAGGGGAAGGCCAGGGGAGGAGGGTGCCCCCCGGGGGTGGGTGGCGCCACCCGTGCTGGGGCCGTGGGCAGGGGTGGGCAGCGGGGTGGCTTCGCAGAGTGCCCTGTGTGCGCAGGCTAGTGATGGAGCAAGGACAAAACGCCTCAGGTCCACGCTGACCTCCGACCTACACAACAGCAAGCAGGCCCCGATTTCTCTGCGCTAATGCAGCCCCACCCTGCCTTGACCAGCCCCGCCCGCCTGGTCTGCTGGACACACCACTGTGTGAAAAGTCCAGCCCTCAGCTGAGCCCTCCCCACTCCTCCAAGCTCTCTCCCTCCAGCTCAGCCCGAGTCCAGCCCCAGCCCCAGCCCAAACCCCTCGCAGCTCGCACTGTGATCTCGCAGGACCTCTGGAACGAGCCCAGCTTAGCTCAGACCCCCAAGACTCCCTTACGGAGCGGTTCATCTACAAAGCGGCGGGAAGGAGCTCGCTCTGCGAGCGTTCACCCGGGAGTGAGACCCCCACCCGGCTTTATTCTGAATGAACCTGGTCTGGCTGTGGCTTCGTCTCTGTCTCTTCTTTCCTGACAGCCAGGGCCCCTGCCCAGGCGAGGCGGCTACGCCCCGGGCCGCCCCAGCAGGTGCACTGAAGGCGCAGGGGGCAAATGGTCGCCTCTTCCTGGGAACAGTTTAAAAACAGGTCGTCAGGGTTTTGCCTGCCTCGCTCCCTCCCCTCTCGCTGTATCGTTTATGTTTTACTCAAGCAGAATAAAAATCCTGAAAAGCGAACGTGCCCGCGGCAGGCTGAACTCTCTGTATGGGATGCGCCCGCGCCCCCGGGTCTCCTCCGCGGCGGCTCAGGTCAGAGAGGCGCGTGCGCGCCGCGGAGGCTCGGTCTGCGGCTGCGCACGGCGTGCCCGGCCCAGGGGCGTGGTCACGGGCGGCTCAGGTCAGAGAGCGCGTGCGCACCGCGGAGGCTCGGTCTGCGGCTGCGCACGGCGTGCCCGGCCCAGGGGCGTGGTCACGTGGCTGTCTGTCAAGATGGCGGCGTCCTGCGTGGCGCTGCTGGCGCTGCTGGCGCTGTGTCTGCTGCTGCTCCGCGCGGGGAAACGCCGGCGGCAGGGGCGCGCGTCCCGGCATGTGGTCGTCGTGGTGCTGGGCGACGTGGGCCGCAGCCCCCGCATGCAGTACCACGCACTGTCGTTGGCCAAGCACGGCTTCTCCGTGACGCTCCTGGGCTTCTGCGGTGAGCGCGGAGCCCGGCGCGGGTCGGGGGCGAGGCGGCCGCCCCCAGATTCCTCCCAGCGTCTCCTTGGTAGCCTGACCCTGGCGGCCTGGAGTCCCCGTGCAGTCTGCAGCCCCGGGGCGGGGGCGGAGGGAGGGTCTGCCTTAGTGCAGGGCGTGCCCGCACTGTGCCAGGCACCGTGGGCGCCTAGGGTGACACCGTGGGCGCCTAGGGTGACACCGTGGGCGCCCGTGCAGTCCGGGCGGGCATGGGCTTCGTTCTGTCTCCTGGCTGCTGGGGAAGGGAGGAAGGTTTTTGGACAGTCTCCCGTCCGGTGGTCAGTGTGAACCGAGTCGCGCCGACCGGCGGGTGCGTTGCTGTTGCCGGCACAGCAAATGGGAGGTTCTTGTTTTCAGACTCCAAACCCCGCGATGAGCTCTTGCAGAGCGACCGCATTCAGATGGTGAGGCTGACTGAGCTTCGGCGCCTTGCAGGTAGTGTGCGGTCAGCCTCCCTCCTGGGCCTCCGCGGGGGCGGTGTGGGGCTGCGCGGGTGCTGACGGCGCCTTCTGACCTGCAGTCGGGCCCCGACTTCTCCAGTACGGGATCAAAGTTGCGTTTCAGGCCGTGCACCTGCTGTGGAGGTTGATATGGACGGAGCCCGCCGCCTACATCTTTCTCCAGGTGGGTTCAGCCGCTGGCTTCCTCCTAGAGATCCCCTGTAGCCAGTGTTGCTGCCCTCCCAGCCTTTTACTGATGCTCAGCCGAGAGAGTGGCGTGTGTGTGTGCGCGCGTGTGTGTGTGTGCGCGCGTGTGTGTGTGCGCGCGTGTGTGTGTGCGCGCGCGTGTGTGTGCGCGTGTGCGTGTGCACTCGCAAAGACGTGAGCAGGAGCCTGTGCGGTGACTCCGTTCTGTCGATGGGGCCCGTCAGTACTCTGTCCTTTAGGGGCCGTCTTACCTTGCGCTTGTTTCGTGTTCAGCTGCTTTGCCTGTGTTACCTCCTTAATCCCCAGGCGACCGCACACAGCAGGTTCTTGTGTCGTCTGCGTTTCAGGGATGTGGAAGCCTGCACCCAGAGGCGTTCTGAAAGTAGCTCCGTGTTGCACAGCTAAGAAGTGGCACCGTTAGCTTTTGAACCTTCTGTGTTGTTTTTTTTTTTTAAACCGTGATGCTGTTCCCCCCCACCAAACATTCATTTATTTTATTTGAAAGGCAGAGTTGGAGGGAGAGGGAGAGAGAGAGAGAGAGAGATCTTTCATCTGCCTGTTCATTCTCCAAGTAGCTGCAGTGGCCAGAGCTGAGCTGATCTGGAGCCAGGAGCCTCTTCCGGGTCTCCTATGTGGGTGCAGGGGCCCAAGGACTTGGGCCATCTTGTACTGCTTTCCCAGGCCACAGCAGAGAGCTGGATCGGAAGTGGAGCAGCTGGAATTTGAACCAGCACCCATATGGCATGCCGGCACTGCAGGTGGTGGCTTTACCCGCTAAGCCACAGTGCCGGCCCCGCTTTTGAATCTTCTTAGAGTTGAATTTTTTTTTTTAAAGATTTATTTACGGCCGGCGCCGCGGCTCACTAGGCTAATCCTCCGCCTAGCGGCGCCGGCACACCGGGTTCTAGTCCCGGTCGGGGCGCCGGATTCTGTCCCGGTTGCCCCTCTTCCAGGCCAGCCCTCTGCTGTGGCCAGGGAGTGCAGTGGAGGATGGCCCAGGTGCTTGGGCCCTGCACCCCATGGGAGACCAGGAAAAGCACCTGGCTCCTGGCTCCTGCCATCGGATCAGCGCGGTGCGCTGGCCGCAGCGCGCCGGCCGCGGGGCCCATTGGAGGGGGGAACCAACGGCAAAAGGAAAGACCTTCTCTCTGTCTCTCTCTCTCACTGTCCACTCTGCCTGTCAAAAAAATAAATAAATAAATAAAAAAAAAAAAAAAAGATTTATTTACGTATCTGAAAGGTAAAATGAAAGAGAAGGGGAGAGAGAGATAATCTTCCATTGGCTGCTTTTCTCTCCACATGGCTGCAACACGGGCTGTGCCAGGCTGAAGCCGGGAGCCCAGAACTCCACCCGGGTCTCCCACGTGGGTGCAGGGGCCCCAGCACTCGGGCCGTCTGTGCACTTTCTCAGGCTCACTGGCAGCGAGCTGGTTTGGAAGTGGAGCAGCTGCGCTAGAAGCGGTGCTCTGATTTCAGATCCTGACTTTGCAAGCAGAGACTTAACCCGCCGTGCCACAGCGCGGCCCTAGCATGGAGCTTACGGGTCTCCCCCTCACCCACTGTTGACACGCGGGCACACCTTCCTCCGGTGGGCGGCACCCGGTTGCAGTACTGTGTTTATTTAGTCTCACCTTAACGGACAGTCGGGTAATTCCAGGCATTCTTCCTAACACAAGCAGTGCGGCTCATATTAGTGCAGTGGGCCCGGCCAGCTTCTTCCTGAAGGTGGGTTCCTGGCCGTGGCCTTGCTCAGCCACAGTTGTGTGTACTTGGAACACGCTGGGATCTGATCCCGGGTTGCCTTACCGTAGGGCCGGGCCGGCTTTTCCCCCACTGACCGGGGTGGCCGTGCTCCCCTGCGTCCTCCGTCTCCAGCCAACGTTGGGCTCAGAGCCTCACTGTGGTGGGTGAACGCGGCTTCGTGTCTGCTCGTGGGTGATCCTGCTCACTTCCGCTCGGTCAGTTCTGTTTCTCTTATGACGTGTCGTCCCTTTGCGCTGGCAGAGAGGGCCTATCTTCTGCTTCCTGGTTGTCGGGAGCCCGTGTGTTGTTACTGCGGAGTCTGGTCTGGGTTTCCTTGTCTTCATCCCGCCCTTTCTGTCCCAGAACCCCCCCGGCCTGCCTGCCATTGCTGTCTGCTGGTTTGTGGGCTGCCTTTGTGGGAGCAAACTCGTCGTCGACTGGCACAACTACGGCTACTCCATCATGGGTCTGGTGCATGGGCCCCGCCACCCCCTCGTCCTGTTGGCCAAGTGGTGAGATCCGGGTGGAGGGTGTGAATGCCGTCCCTCGGACCTTGTCAACGGGGTGGACTCAGGCTGGTCCTGTGTGTCTGCAGATTGAGGGCCTGGCTGGGTAGGAACAGGCGTCAGCAATGGAGGGCGTTGGGAGGTCCTGAGAGATGGCCTCCAGCTTAGGCTGCTGTCAGCGGGGCCTGGCTCTTCTCTCTCTGTGATCTCTTCGCAGGGTGGTCTCAGGGTCCGGGGGCTCCCCTAGTTTGCATCCCCATGCGATGAGGCTCCAGGGGAGAGCAAGTCTCCCTGGTTGGCTCATGTAGGTCTGATCCGCCCACGGACGTGAGGCACTGTGATCCCCTGTTGTGACGAGAGACGGGTCCGAGTCACACCCGGACCACATGGCTGGACAGAGAGTGAGGGCAGGTCCCAAATCAGCACCACAGTCACTGTGGCGGGAAGAAAGGCCCGTGCAGCAGGCTGGACCCAGAGCAGAAAGCACCCGTTTTAAAAAATCACTGACATTTACTTGAAAGGTAGAGAGACACAGAGGTCTCCCTTATGCCGGCTCACTCCCCAGATGCCCGCAACAGCCAGAGCTGAGCCAGGCTGAAGCCTGGAGCCCAGAGCTCTTCCTGGGTCTCCTGCGTGAGTGGCAGGGACTCAATGCCTTGAGCGTCACCTGCTGCCTGCCTCAGGCCTGGCCACAGTGTCTTGGCACCTCTCTCACCTTTGCTGACTTCCTTTGTACCATGGTGAGAGCAGGTGTGGGCCCCCACTCGGGCAGTGGGAGCACAGGGTGGCTGGGATCGCGTCAGGAGGCCTGTGTTGCATTTCAAGAGAGGCCACTTTTCACTTGGTCGAGTCCCGGTACTCGTGCTGGAAGGTGCCCGGACGTACAGGAAGGTGCAGAGAACCTGCAGGCAGCTCAGGGCTGCTCGCTCTGCAGCCTCTTCTGTAGGGAGCGGGCGGGGTCTCCCTGCTCTGGGCCCCCCGCCCATCAGCCGCGCGTCTCTTCAGGTACGAGAGGCTCTTTGGGCGCCTGGTGCACTTCAACCTGTGTGTGACCAACGCCATGCGGGAAGACCTGGCGGAGAACTGGCACATCAGGTATGGATGCCCATCAGGCCGAAAGAGGCCTGGGGCCCCGGGCTGGTGGGGAAGGGAGCAGCGAGGCTTTCGGCAACACCGAGAGGCTGGGAGGTGCTTGCTGGCCTTGGGACGCCAGCGGCATGGGGGGGCTGGGATTCTTAGCCAGCTGGGAGGCCCCGGGCAGTTTTGCTGTTAGCACATCTCTGCTTTCGGAGTGATCCCAAGGCCTTGTATTGTCTGAGGCTTGGGTCCCAGGATCCTGGGGCCTGGCCCGCCCCTCCCTGGAGTGCCCCGTGATGTCGTTGCAGAGCAGTGACCGTCCACGACAAGCCGGCGTCCTTCTTCAAAGAGACGCCCCTGCACCTGCAGCACGAGCTGTTCCTGAAGCTGGGCCACACCCACTCTCCCTTCAGGGCCCGGTAGGCCTGCTGGCTTCGGCCGCCGTCTCTCCTCCTCGCTGCCGTGGTGGCCTCTCCCCTGTCTCCACCGCAGACCTGGGCATCCAGGAATCCAGGGCCCGCCCCTGGGTTTTGTAAATAAAGTTTTACTGGGCACACGGCATGCACCCTCCCCTCCTGCCACCTGCGGCGGTTGTGGAGCTGCGCTGGTTTCCGTGCCTGTGCTGGGGTCCCTGGACCTGTCTTCGGGGTGTCCCCTGGAGCTGAGGAGGGGCCCTTGTGCTGCCCTGCATATGTGTTGTCTGTGTCCCCAGTAACCCAGCCTGGTGGCCGAGGGTGTCACGGTGTTCTGTCTGAGAGACAAGTGGGGGAAGGTCTGGCTTGGGAGTCCTGTCTCCTGCTGTGGCCCCTGCCAGCAAGTGACCGCTCTCCCAGGCCTTGGTGGCGGGGTGGGCAGGGCGGTGCTGCTGTGGGCAGGTGCCTGTCCTTTCTGAGCTGGGCCTCACTGAGGTGGGAGACAGCATCCTGGGCCCTAAGCCTGCCCTGCGGCATCTCCCCACTTTTCCTCTGCTCCCCCAGCTCAGAGCCCTCAGACCCTGCTGTGGAGAGGTCGGCCTTCACGGAGCGCGATGCTCGGAGCGGGGCGGTGACACAGCTGCGCGGGCGGCCGGCCCTGCTGGTCAGCAGTACAAGCTGGACAGGTGTGCCTGAGCCCTGCCCCGGGCACTTGGGTGACGGGCACCTGCTGCCTCCTGAGGCCCCCACCAGGAGGGGAGGGTGGGTCGCCGGGCGGGGCGCCTGGGGACAGGCCTGTGACGCTCAGTTCTCTTCTTGCAGAGGACGAGGACTTCTCCATCCTGCTGGCTGCCTTAGAAAGTAGGTGTGTGGCTCGGTTGCAGCCCAGGCTTGCTGGGACCCCACAGCTGTGAGATGCTTGGCCTGGCAGGCCTGCTGCGTGCTCCTGTCCCCGGGCCCTGGGTGGGCAGGCACGGCCTGAGGACAGCAGGAGTGGACATGGGCAGCTCTCGGGCCCCGTTTGGGCCATGGGGTGGCCAGGTCTGATGTGAGGTGCTGTGTTGGGAGAGCATCTCCAGCTGTCTCCCCTGTCCCCGCTCTGCTGTCCAGTGGCCCGGTTAGTGGCTCAGTATTTTTGTCCACAGAGTTTGAACAGCTGGCCCTCCACGGAGACAACCTTCCTGCTCTAGTCTGTGTGATAACAGGTACTGCCGGACTCCACGCCCCCGTGCTGGGGGAGGGGGTGGGTGAGCGCGCAGCCTTCACCTCCCGCACAGCTTTGCCTCAGCTCTGCAGGTGGGGTTTCCTCGTCCACTCCTCACAAGGGAAACCAAGGCCCAGGTCGGACTCTCAGAAGACCTCGGGCAGTGGGCTCTCCACATTGTTAGTGGTTTTTATTTATTTATTCACTTTTGAAGATTCATTTATTTTTAGCATTTAGTTCTTTTTTATTTTTTATTTATTTAAGAGGTAGAGTCACAGAGGGAAGGAGAGATAGAGAGAAAGATCTTCCGTCTGCTGGTTCACTCCCCAGATGGCTGCAGTGTCTGGTCTGGGGCTGGGCCAGTCCTAAGCCAGGAGCCAGAAGCTTCCTCCAGGTCTCCCATGTGGGTGCAGGGGCCCCAGCATTTGGGCCTTCTTCTCTGGTCTCCCAGGCCACAGCAGAGAGCTGGATTGGAAGAGGAGCAGCCAGGACTCGAACCAGCACCCATGTGGGATTCTGGTGTGGCATGCAGAGGCTCAGCCCACTACTCCACTGCACCGGCCCCTCATTTATTTATTTGAAAGGCAGAGTTAGAGAGAGAGAGAGATCTTCTGTCTGCTGGTTCACTCTCCAAATGGCTGAAAAGGACAGGGCTGGGCCAGACTGAAGCCAGGAGCCAGGAGCTTCTTCTGAGTCTCCCACGTGGGTGCAGGGGCCCGAGGACTTGGGCTGTCCTCCACTGCTTTCTCAGGCCGGTCAGCAGGGAGGCGCTGGATGGGAAGTGGAGCAGCCGGGACTCAAGCCGGCACCCGTGTGGTGGCAGTGCAGGTGGCTGCCGTGCCTGCTTACCTGCCGGCCCCTCAGTGGTTCTAAGCACCCTTTTATTTCCCAAACCTGAGAGGTCATGTGGGGCCCAGAGCTGCCTCCAGACACCGGTGAGGAGTGGGGGTGGGGCTTGGCGCTCTGGCTGCTCCCTTCCCTCTTCTCACCTGGCCGGCTCCTGGCGGGGCGGGAAGCAGGCCCGTGTCCCCACCGGGGCTTACATGATGATGCTGTGTCCACCTGGCCAGCATTTATCCCGGCCATGCTCAGAGTCCGCGGCCGGCGGCTGCAGGTCGCAGGGCCTTCCGTACCTCAGTGGCCTGAGTGCCCACCGTGTGGGATCTCTGGCTCCTGAGGCTGTTTGTGGATGGGCCCGGAGGGGCCTGACTGGCTGCTGAGGGGAAGATATTTTGGGGCAGTGGCCAGAGCTGGGGCCGTGGGGCAGGGGGCCTCCTGCAGCCCCTGCTTTTCTCTGCCAAGGCAAAGGGCCCCTGAAGGAGCACTACAGCCGCCTGCTGGCCCAGCGACGTTTCCAGCACGTCCAGGTGTGCACCCCGTGGCTGGAGGCCGAGGACTACCCCTTACTCCTAGGTGAGAGATCGGCGGGAAGTGGGGCTTGGGGAGGTCCGCCAGAACCTTCAGAACTGTGCCAGCCACGCTCAGCTCACAGGCCAGTCACAAAGGCCTCAGGCTAGACTGGGCCCTGGCCCACTGGCCATCTAGGGGTGGCCTGCCGGGAACCCTGGCTGAGTCCTGGAGAGGCCCCTTTGTGGCATGCCAGCCCCTCCCTGCCCAGGAACCCAGAGGCTGTTTGCCAAGGGCCCTCAGCCCCCACACCCTGCATTCTGCGGTCTGCACCAGGGCTGGGCCTGGGATTGGCTGGGGCCTGTGTCCTCCAGGTGTGGGAGGTGGCAGCTCCCAGGTGTGCAGAGACGGCCTGTCAGCAGAGAAAGCCCCGTCTCTCCCTCTCGGTTGCTGGGAGGAGGGAAGCTGGGGACTGTCCCTGGATCATCTCCCAGTGGCCACTGTGAGCTGTGAGCAGTGTCAGCCCACGGCCTTTGGCAGACAGCAGTTTCCAGTGTCTGTGGAGTTTAAATACTGGGCTTGCTTCATTTGAAAGGCAGAGTGACAGACAGAACGCTTCCACCCACTGGTTCACTCCCCAAATGCTCACAGCAACCAGGGCTGGGCCAGGTTGAAACCAGGAGCCCAGAACTCCATCCAGGCCTCCCACGTGGGTACAGGGGCACAAGCACTCGGCCATCTTCCGTTGCTTTCCCAGACACATTAGCAGGGAGCTGGATCAGAAGCAGGTAGCCAGCCTGGAACTGGCGCTCTGCTAAGGGGTGCGGTGTCCCAAGCTGAGGCCTACCCCGTGCTGCCCAGGCCTGCCCCGCATGCTGTGTCTTCATGAGGACAGCTGGATCTGCCCTGGGTTCTTTTTCAAAGTATCGCAGTAAAATCAGTCGCCGTATCAGCCGTTCAGCCGTGTGTGGCTCAGCGGCGTTCATTACGTGCATGGTGCTGAGCCACCGTCACCACTCCGTGTCCGTCGTCACCGCAACAGAAACTGTACCGTGTGCAGTGACTGCCCGGGAGCCTCTTTATAGGAAACGGGTGCAGTGCGGAGTGAACTCAACTTAAGTGGTGAGCGCTGGGCCGAATGGCCTGGAGTGGCCACTGGGCAGTGCTGCCGGGTCTGCCCTGGCCGGTGTCAGCCCCGTGTGCGCAGCCTAGACCTTCCCTGATCTGCCTGCCGCGGGAGGTGTGCACAGCCCTGCTAGCTCTGTGTTCACACCCCGCCCCACCTCCCTGCAGGGTCGGCGGACCTGGGTGTGTGTCTGCACAAGTCCTCCAGTGGCCTGGACCTGCCCATGAAGGTGGTGGACATGTTCGGGTGCTGCCTGCCTGTGTGTGCAGTGACCTTCAAGTGGTAGGAGTGGAAACAAACTTCCGGGCGTGGGTTCTCAGCCGAGGGGGTCACAGCTGCTGGGCCCAGGGGCCCAGCAGGACGCCTCCCATCTGCCCAGAACAAGGACCCTCTGCTTCCTGTGGCTCAGCTGAGCATGGAGTAGTCGGCTTCCATGTACTGCCAGCACCGCCCATCCCAACAGCAGCAGTGTTCTGTGCTCACAGAATGGGGACGGTGGCCTCTCTCTCCATGTCCCCTCTGGCTGAGCCGTGTAGTGGGGTGTGTCAGCCGTGTGTCATCGTGTGACTGCACTGCTGCTGTGGGAATGGGCGGTGTTGGCAGAGTTTGGAGAATGTGGCCCCAGGGCTGGGCACTGTGGGAGGTTGAGGGGGCGCGACCCTCCCGTGAGCTGAGCTAGGACAGATCAAACTGTCCGTGACCCTGAGAAGCTGCCACCGTGTACGGAGCCGATCTTGGGGCACCCTCTACCTTTGTTCTTGGGCGTGGAGTTAAGACGGAAGCAGCCCCTGAGCGGGTTCTCACTGAAGAACAGGCAGTGCCTGAGCTCCGTGCACTGGCACAGGCCCCTCCTGTACATCAGCCTGGACGCTGTGTGGTCCACAGGTCAGGTGTTCTGTGCAGACACACTCTGAAAGCAGAGTCAGAAACCCTACTGCTTTGGGGGCGGGGTAGGGTGGGGGGGGCGCCAGGACGGCCACAGGTTCTTCTCCATGCAGCTCGGGCCTCCATCTCTCTGCAGTTTACACGAGCTTGTGAGGCATGAAGAGAATGGCCTGGTCTTCCAGGACTCGGAGGAGCTGGCTGCTCAGCTGCAGGTAGCCACGTCGGTCCCTCGCTCCTGGATTCGCAGTGGTGGGAGCGAGAAGCTGTGGTGGGGGTGGGCCTGGGCGGCAGGCTCCCAGAGGCCAGTGGGCGCAGAGCTGGGACACATTCCTGCCTGCCCTCCCGGTTCACGGTGGCCCTGTGTGGGCAGTGAACGGAGCCTTTGGAGCAGCCCTGAGAGATGGCTGGGGTTTTGCAAACTGCATCACAAAAATTCCTCATTTGGAAGGCAGAGTGAGAGAGGGAAAAGTGTATCTTCCATCTGCTGGTTCACCCCCCCAGACGGCTGCCGTGGCTGGGAGGAGCCTGGAGCTCCATCCTGGTCTCCGACATGAGTGGCATGGGCTTGGGCACCTGGGCCGTCATCCGCTGCTCTCCCAGGCACACTGTCAGGGAGCTGGACTGCAAGCGGAGCAGCTGGGACGCTGCCCGTGCCTGATGTGGGATGTCCACGTCAGCGGCAGCGGCTTACCCGCTGTGCCACAGCGAGGGCCTGGTGTGCTCGTCCTTGACAAGTTAGTGGTTGGCAGGCTTCCGCCCAGGCGCTGCCACGCCAGCTGCCACACGCCTGCCGCAGCGTGAAGGCAGCCAGACGGGGTGGGGTGGGGGGCCGGGTACCACTAAACCCTCACTCAGAGGCGAGGGGCCAGACGTGGCCTGCTGACCTGACCTACAGGCAGCAGAGTGCGAGGCAGTCCGTGCCCCCTCCCGGCAGACGGGCTGGACCAGGCTGGGGAGGGCCCTCGGAGGAACAGCTGGCAGAGGCCGGGAGGTGCCCAAGGCACGGAGCCTAGGAGGAGGGTGTGCAGGGAGACTTCCAGAAAGCACTGTCAGGCTGGAGCCGGAGCATGTGGGGGCCTGGGGGGGGGCAGGACGGGGGTGCTGTTCAGGGGGCCTGGGGGGGACAGGATG